CATCAGAGACCCATTAGAAATAAGAATAATTTTTATTCAGTACAGAGCATAGCAAAACAGACTATATAAGAGATTACTGAAAACAAGAAAAACCTATGGCTCTGTGCCTTAACTACACATTAAAGATATTCATAGTTACCAGTGAAGTGTCCATATTCCAAGAGTGTCCAAGGTATACAGTCCAATTACCAAGGGATTTTGAAGAGAAATACCATCCTTGCACCCATGTGCTCCAGTTCACAAAGCAGCTCTTTGTCTTCCAAGAGACAGCATTTCCAGGTGCAATAAACAGACAATGACAAGAAGGGAGAGCTAAAAGCAGACCGCTCCCTCTCATAGGAATCAATCAATTATACCCCAATTCCATTCATGATCAGCTGTGGCCATCAGCCAATCACGAGCAGACAGGGGATGTGCCCAATTGTCATAGCTGCATGTGGGGATAGGCTAGAAGTTTGGAGACCATGCCTGCAGTCACATGACCCAAACTCCAGCTTCTCCATTGCCTACGTGACTTGTTGCATGTGGGCCAGAGCCAGGAGCCATCAGGTCTGGCTCTTCCACTTAGAGGTGTGAAAGAATGTGTGGTTATATGGCATGGCTATTGAGGTAGTTCAGACCATTTGGTCTGCAACAGGAAACAAAGACAGCATGGTATCAAAAGACATCACAGGAGAAAGCATGTGGCTATAGAAGCAGAAAGCAATTTTTCTATACACATGTACCACAGCCTATCTGCAACATATTAAGTTAAAAATAGTACCAGTTTGGTCAGTCAATACCAATTTTGTCACCAACATTTCCATGCTAATTATACACCCCCAGAATTAATACTGCTATAAGATTTATTTCAAATTATTCTTGCTCATCAGAATCTATTTTGTACCTTTTGGAGACATATAACAACAAAAAGGTAAAGTTTCTCCCTTCCCTGACCCAGCAAATGGCTCTAACGCTGAAATCAGACATACGGATGTGATCACTAATTGAGCAACAAAAACAATTCGAAGGACAGTGTAATCAAAGATACGCCAGACGCTAAAATACACACACACAAGAAATGTTCAAGCCATCACTCTCAAGAACATAAGTCCAACATTACTCAATGTATAAATGCTCAAAGTGTCACAAGGTTTATTCAACACAACCACAACCTCTGCCAGCTCATGGCAGGAACCCAGCAATGTTTATCTGATAGTAATAGATAGAACATAAAGAACTGGGAGCAAGATATCTCATGTGTTCATTTCCCATTAATGCTTGTTCCTGGCACCTTTATCACAAAGCAGAATTCAATAACATAAAAAACCACTACAATGGCTTCCACACTTTGGACAATTTTTAGATCACTACAGTGAAACATTAGCATTTCCTTTCAACAACCAGAATTGTTTGCATAGCTATTTCTGCTGCTAGTCTTCGCGGTAAATAAAGCTTTTGAATGCTTAATTTAGTGTGGATGATTGCAGCTTCTCTTTTGCCAGTGTTAGCAATGCATCTGTAAAATATCATAGCCTTCTAAAGACTACTTTTGGATCAGTTATTTGGAACTACAGAAACTTCTAATGGTTTGCAGAACTATAACATTACAAAACATGCATTTTTTAAAAACATTTACCAGATTATTACCAGATCAGAATGATACAGCGTTCTAATGTAAAATGCAGTATTCATCATGTGAAAGTTTGGAACATTCCTAGCGCAGATCTCTTGGAATACTGACTACTTCCACATAACCTAAGATGAAATTGTACAAGGCTCTTGTGGAAACAGGGTATGGCTAAGATAGATTGTGCTATCCCTTAAGGATGCCACTGCTGGCCACTTGAAGAAAAGTATTGATCCTTCCTGTCCTGGGATGAGTGTTCTCTTACTGCCTTTCTAGGCTGTTAGTTCATAGCATGACAAATGCACAACTACTGCTCATTTGTTGCAGACATCCTATGTTAAAGAACATTCTGCTTCAGGAATATAACATTTTCTCCAGTTCTTCAAATTATATTGCTACTTGGAAAATATAATTATTTCTTCCAGCTAGCAGGTGATTAGAGTTTGGAATGCTGCCTGAAACGTGGCTGAATAAGTTTGATGAACATGCATTTATTTTATTTATTTAGAAATGTTATGTGTCGCTTCACCAGAGACCTGCTAGATGATTGCACAATGCCTGTAAGACAATGGATGACAGCACATTGTGGGACTTGAGGGGCCAGAGTGTGGAAGAGAAATACTAGAAACAAAAAGACTTCACTGTACTCCTACAATTCAGGTCAGAGCATTCTGAATCCAACACCAGAGCTCAGTTTCCGAAGCATGGACTTATGGGGACTGAAACTGACTAGCCTCAGGACTCTCAACAGCATTTCTTCAGATCTCACCGTGAGACCCTAGTTGTCCCTAACCTGAAATTGCCAAAGGGATTCTAGACTTTGCAGTAGAAGAAGTGAGCTTCAACTCAACAGCCCATTTTGGAAGACTATGCATTTCCTCTCTTGGATGCTCAAATCATGTACATCACCTAAAACACATCAGCTTTTAAAAAATACATTAACTTGGCTACCCCACCCTTACTCTGTGCAGCAGGTATACATCCATTACATGAATATTATGCTATTGCCTTTGGATCAAAATTTTTAGAACCATTCTTCAAAGAAAGCTATTGGGGGACGCTTCGAAACAATCTTCTGTTTAAGTCTTTAGAACATGCTACATTGGTTTACAGTGCTCCATCTTACAGACCAATCTACCTATTGCAAACAGAAATACCAGGACTTTTCCAAGCATAAGCTGGTCTCGTGAAAATGGAAACTTTGAGCTCAGGAAAGCCCCTTTGCTCACTGTACTGGTACCATCCACAACCCTTTTGTAATCAGATCTTTTCCACAAAGGCACTTTTATGTGGCAGTTTTAAGTTATACCCCATTCACTATTTACAATCAGAATGCCTATTCCACCGCCATGCTTAAAAGCTGAAAAAGGAAATGCAGTCTTCCAGTCTATATTTGTTCAAATATTAAATCTGTCTACTGTGCCATAGCGCACTGTAAATGCAGGCTTTAACAAGGACTAGGACAGGGTTAAAGCCAACTTTTTTCTTGAACAGATGATATTTCAGATGGCCACACTATTCCAGATGCATCAATTTCCTTGAAAATCGAATCCATATATGTGCATATGCTGTGCTGGCAGGAGGACTGCCTGAAATGGCCCCAACCCAAGAACTAATATTCTTTTGGCCAGAATAATGCAATTATTATTTTCCTAGCTATCAGTCTAAGCATACAGAGCCATCTGTTATGCAAAGCAAACATACACATCTCAATTACAGAAAATGCAGTTGCCTTGACAGAATTTGGATTACACCACTAAACAGGGCTGTAAAATTTGTTTTAAGCTAGTTTATAATGGATGCCTTTCAGGAGTTCCCTAATTAGCATTTACCTGTTAAACTATTTTTTAAGCCTCCTTCTTTTTCAGTTTATTAAACTTTGTTGGATACCATGCATAAAATACACTAATATGAACATAAGAGAATATTAAACATGAATGTCCCAGTGTTTGTTTGTTTTTAAACTGCATCAGAAACCACGTGGCATATTGATCATGAAGAAATGAGACTTCTGATACTGGTTCCGAAAGAGACAAAATCAGGACCTATTCCAAAACTAGGGATTGCAGTAAGATACAAGAATCCCATTGCTTAGTTAACAAATAGTTTTTTGCAGTCCTATTTTATTTGCTAAAATTTCCTTGTAAACAATATAGCCACATTACTAATGCAACTTCCTGCATTTTCTCTAAGGATTCAATGGATATTATTCCAGAGCCTCCAATAATACATACACCTCTTGTTTCCCCCTTTTTCGCCTTGTACATGAGGCATTTACACACTCCTTTTCATGACTTCAGGATAACATTTTCAGTTTACCTTGTGCACAGTATGGTCGCCAACCTCCAGGTGGGGCCTGCATATTCCCTGGAATTACAACTGTTCTCCAGACTACATCAATCAGTACCTCTTGAGAACATGGCTGCTTTGAAGGATGAGCTCTATGGCATTATACCCCACTGAGGTTTCTTGCTTCCCCATACTCCACCTTCCCCATGTCCCAACCCCAAATCCCCAGAAATTTCTCAACACTGCGTTAGCAACCTTAACATATAGCTAAATCACAGTTTTAAAGAGTTCCACTCTTGAGGTGTCTCCAAACCACCATGGCAGCAAAAGCAACCAATTCAGTACCATACAAAGAAGTAGACATAAGCATTATCACAATTACTGAGTTTCTTCAGGGTGGACATAGTCAAGTATCCAACTATGCAAAAAAACCTCCAGGTGTCCCCATATCTGAATAAGGACAGTTATGGTTTATGTGCCTAGCCAATACTGCTAAAACCAGAACCATTAGTGATAAAACAACAATTAATTCTTCTCTTTCTCTATAACCTTCTATTAAAAGATGTCACCAATTAAACTAAAACATTCAATTACTTTATAAAAAATATCCGAGTCAGATTACTGAACATTTATGAAAATAGCAAAATGTGTCCTTGTTGAAACCCTCTCTGCAAGTCATTTTAATGGTCTCTTTCAGCTTTTCTTGACTTCGAATGACTCCCTGTCATTGTGTCAGCTCCCAGGACAATGCAGGGTACTCCATAAACATCCAGTAATAGGACACAAGGGAAGTACTATTAGTATGTCCCTTTCCTATCAGGTACTGAGGTTTAAAGTTCAAAACAACTGAGAAAAGAAACTTCATTTGTTCTCAATAAATTAATAATGATCCTTTGTGGAAGAAAAAGATTTCAAGCTCTGGTGTTTTTTCGCCCATTTGAACATTCAGCACTGAATCACAGTATTCAATTATTTTCTAGGATGAATAAGATACAGCCATTAAATCAGAAATTCAACAACATGCAGAATGCTGCAAAACAGATTATTGCTTTAAAAATGATGAGCACAAGACTGCGCTCACACCACTGAATTTTCTACTTACTTGGGATAGGCCAAGATAAATGGAGACTGTTTCCGAAATGTACAAAAATTTCCCCTCTTGGTTTAGTGCAAATACAAATCCATCCAGGGACTGCAAAGTAAGAAAAAGTGAAAAGTTTGTTATATGGTGACATATTTCACTACCAGATAACATATAGGCATCTCATAGTCAAGGACTCCATTATCTTCACTATCAATTAACATACATTGCCAATTGTGGGAGAATGGAGAATAAGAAAAGCATTGTGAATTGTAGTAACTTTTGCTAATTAACAAAGAATTACACCTCCCCTCCTCCATTCATAAATGCACCCACACCCTTTTTTGTTAGTGCAAAGAAAACAGTTCACTGTCAAATGTATTCACACCTGGAGACTACAGAAATCTTTTGAATCTAATCTCTTGTCAACCTGTATGCTTAAATTATATTCTCGTAGGTGCAATTTCTACAGATACAATTTCTAGAAAAATATTTTAAATACCATGTTATGTTGTTATATGCACATAAATGAGCTAGGGGAACTCATTAGCATAACTCATTAGCATATGCCACACCCCCTGACATCACCGGAAGTGTGTCATAAGGCCACACACCCTCCCCCCAATGGTCCCGGCTGCCACCGCTGGCCTTGCAGCTCCACTGCTGAGCCCCATGAGGGGCCCAGCGGTAGACCTGCAAGGCCGGCGGGAGTGCAAGGAAGCCCCGTGAAGGCCCTCCCTGGCCCCAGGCAGGCAGGGGTGGGGAGAGGCAGGGAGGAAGCAACTTACCCTCCCTCTTCTCCTGCCTCCTCCTGGCTGAATGAGGGCCGGAAGCGGGGCGGCCGGAAGCAAGGGGCGGGGCTTCGTCATGTGCCCCGCCCCCCATACCTCACTCGGGGGAACTGCGTTCCCCCGCGTTCCCCCCCCCGAAATGACCTCTGAAGGTAAATATTCACCATGACTATGGCCGAATCTGCATTTTCATTTTTAAAGCAGTCTTGATGCTGCCTTTCTTTATACTGGAGTGATGCTTTTTTCAAAGTGGTACGAAAAAATCTGCTATTTTTTTCTGCTTGCTGGCCGGGAATGTTGTTGTTCTCCTCCCTCTAGCATGCCCAGCATTTGCCGGGCACCCATTAGCTTTACACAAGGCAATACATTACTTAAGGCAACAAGGCAACAAGCTATAAACTTCTCTTTACATTCAAAGAAAAGGATTTTCTCAGATTTCAGTTTTGCCCAGCTTTTGGTTTAAACAAGAAAGCAAAAATAGCCAAAATAGCCAAATAACTGAAAAGACTGGGTGTTTAGTTTGCAGAATGTATGTATGTATGTAGAAGGGATCTTTCTCTAACTTTTCAGGCAATATAAAAATCACAAAACAAGATAAAATCATTCACTTAGCTTGTCAAGCAAGGGAAAAGTTTCTTACATGCCTCTATGTGCTGTCAGAAGGTAAACAGAGCAGATAAGCCTCCGATTAGCACTGGGGGGGGGGTTTAGAGTGCTTTTAAGCACATCCATTTGAGCCAGAGAGGAGCCACAATCATGACGGAGCCGAAACCATCGGGCAATAAAATAATGCAGACAGCAGAAATTATAACAGTGCAGTAGGAGAGCGAAACCTAAAGAGATGTGGACATCTTTTTTTGGAGACGGAGCGAGAGTGTAGCCGAAGCAGTGGAAAATACCAATGCAGATTCCACCTATATCTCATTTCATTGTCAGCTTCATTTGTCTTCAAATCCTTACTAAGCTGTTCAGAGCCCTAGAAACTTCTTTTTCTAAAGCTCCTAGAACTTGGATGCTGCTATACCTGCATGAGATAACATCCCTAGTAGAAGTTGAGGAGTCCACGGAACTACATTATCTTGCAAAATCTGGGCACCAGATCTGTGAGGTCATATGGATAACAAGAGAGTGGGTGTGGCATTGGGGAGGAATGGATGATGCTGGTAAGCCTGTTTCAAACTGGCTCTACAGTGTGTGGAGAAGCAGAATATATAAATTCACATTCTGAACACCTCCTAGCTCTAAAATTTAGTGCCATCGCTACTTTCCACTTTTTATTTTAAAAAAGCTAAGTCACACTATAATGACCAGAAGAAGAAAAAATTAAATCAAAATGTAAAGCACAAAATTAAAAATGTTCCCATGCTGCAGGTTAGTATTACTTTTATTATATTTATATTCCATCAGAATATTTGTATCCTGTTTCCCCTGAACATCATGCAAGGGACCCAAAGTGGCTTACATAAATTGTTTTCACTGTCACAACCACAGTATGAATCATGCCATAAAATTTAAAACCACTCCACACATATATTCCCTGACATAATAAAAACTAAACTCACTTAAGTAGGGTTGTCAACTCCAGGCTGAGAAATAACTGGAGATTTGGGACGTGAAGCCTGAGGAGGGTGGGTTTTTTTTTTGGGGGGGGGTATACTGCCATAGAGTCCACCTTCCAAAGTGGCCTTTTTCTTCAGGTGAACTAATTTCTGTTGGCTGGAGAGTAGTTGTAATAGCGGGAGATCTCTAGGCACCACCTGCAGGCTGGCAACCCTACTAGGGCTCAGTTCCAATAAAAAAGAAACTGTTCTTAAGTCCACTATCCAACTGAAACTGTCAATGTTAGACAGCCAAAATTTAAACTCTGTAATCATATGTATGCTATTGTTAGTTTATTTATCGTATGGCAGAGTTACACACAGGAAGCATATAATAATATAAAATACATAACCAAGTTGATGCAACGGGTAGGCAGACCAATTGGGCAATCCCCCCCAAATACTAATATCTAAATTTTCAATCCACTCAATCACAGCTGGGGAGAGTTCAAAGAGCTCCATCACATCTCCCTGAAAAGCATGATGCTCACATTCCTGTGACAGATGGAAAATAGTTTGGTGGGCTGCACCATAATCACATTTGGATCTTGGTATTTTGCCCCATTTAAACAACAGGTCTGCACAACTGTCAAAGCCTGTTCATATTCTATTAGCCATCTTCCATGCTTTATGTGGCAAGTCAAATCCTGCGGGCCTCTCATTGGTGTTTATTAGGTTAGGAATATCCAGTGGAACTGATTGCATCCATGTCTGCACCTGCCCTGAGCCTGCTTCAGCAGGGAGGGCAGTGTATAAATCAAATAAATCAAATCAAATCATTTCCTAGATCAAAATTTTGTGATTGCAGGATTTGTGGAGATCTTATTGTTGGATGTCAGGATCTTAGTCTGGATAGGCCCATGTCAGCCATGTCTTTGTGGATAGGCAACTCTCTTTTTTCAGTGATTTTTCTATATTCAAGAAAAAGAATCTCTTGTTTTCAGAGATGCAGGGGAGTAATGTGGTACAACTTGGGTAGTCAATAGGTTGGAGTGGGTTTAATACATCTGCTGATAGTTCTCATTGTTGTATTGAGTTGGGCATCACGTTTGTGGACATGGGGTCTGTTGAGTCACACTAAAGTACCATATTCAGCAGAACTATACACCAACCCCAAAGCTGAGCATCTAAGTGTTGTAGCAGACACACCCCAAGTTGTACCACATAATTTTTGGAGAATGTTGTTTCACATGTGTATTTTTACTGCTACATTGGTAAGATGGTGTTTATAGCTCAAGGTCCTGTCTAGGGTAATTCCAAGGTACTTAAGGTGCATGATTGTGTTTAAGTTGGGTGCCATTAAGATAGACATTCAGTTCATGGTTGGCAAGATTGTTACTGAGATGGAAACAGGAGCATTCTGCTTTTCCTGGACTTGGGATAAGCTGCCATTTACAGTAGTAGTCAGCCAAAATTTTGAGGTCCCTAGTCAGTATTTCCTCAGTCCTTTCAATTGATTTGTGCCTTACTGCAATTGTCACGTCAGTGGCATAAGCAAATTACCTGGATATCATCTTGGAAACATCAGAGATGTATAGATTGAAAAGAACTGGAGCCTGGGGTTGACCATTATTCAGTTTCTTCTGCTTGATGATTGACTGACCCATAATTACTCAGAAAGTTCTATCATTCAGCATGTTATTTAGGAGTTGAAGTAATGTTCTGCAAGGCAAAACTTGTAAACACTTGTACAACAGACCATCCCTCTAGACTGTGTCATAAGCAGCAGTCAAATTGACAAAAACTGCTGATGTCTTAAGACATATCAGCAGTTTTTGTCAATCTGAGAACCTGGTCTTCAGAACTATGATGGGGTCAAAATCCTGCTTGCTCTATAGCAACACGTTTGTTAATTCTGCCACTGATTCTGTTCAGGATTAGCCTCTTGAGGCATTTATAACAGGAGCACTGAAGGGAAATAGGTCTGTAACTTTCTGCCAGATGTTTTGGGTTTCCAGGTTTCAGACTAGCACCTATCCTTGCTTTCTTAAATTCCCCTGGAGTCTTCCTGTTCTCATGATGCCAGTGAGAAATTTTGCGAGTTGCCTCTTAGTGAACATGCTGCTGTTGATCAGGAACTCATTATGAATGCAGTCAAAGTCTGGTGACTTTCTGCTCTTGATGGCCTTCAGCACCTTGGAAATCTCATCAGCACTGAAATCCCCTGACAGCTCGCAGTCTTTAGGACAGGTGTGCTTCAAAATCTGGAGTTCTTTTTTTATCCTGATTGCAAAATCTTGATCCTTTGGTGCTCTGGAAAGGAATACTAGTCAGGCAGCTACCTGGTTTGATACAGAGCCAGTCTGTTGTAGTGGTTAAGAGTGGTGGACTCTAATCTGGAGAACTGGGTTCAATTCCCCACTCCTCCACATGAAGCCAGCTGGTGGACCTTGCATGAGTCACAGTTCTTTCAGACCTCTCTCAGCTCCTGAAAACAAGTCAAGCTCACCTCTAGCACAACATTAAGAGCTAGAACTTGTGGCTGACAGATGATCCTAGGATCTTCTGGATATTCTACACACAATGCCATATGATAATTCTTAATTATTACCTGGTTTGATGTTACCTCCAGCTTTTCTCAGAGCACAGGTGGGCTTGCACCTAGTTTTTTCAACAGGCTCTAGGCTTTCCTACTTGAAATCCAAATTTGCAGTTGCTTCAATCCATTTTTGTCTGTGTGTAGCATCGAGTTTATGGAGTATTTCATCTTCCACTTTTGGGT